GGCCTTCTAGTATAAGGGTAGTACTCCTAGTTCTAAATTAGGAGGTTATAGGTTTAACTCCTACTAGGGCTAGTTGCTTTTTAACATGTAAGAAGTAAAACCCTTATATAAAGAGAAGCTTTTTTTTTTTTCTTTTAAAAAGCTTAGTGTTATAAGTCACGTAGAGTTAAGTTATGTAGATAGGTGAAATAGAATAATAAATCTAAAAGAAGAAAGGAAGGAGAGAAGAAGAAGAAGAAGAACTAAGTGCTAACATACATAGTGCTTATCCCTTATCTAATATCCATAGCAACATTCCATAGCAACACTCTATAGTAACATTCTATAGCAACACTCTATAGTAACATTCTATAGCTATGCATTTATAACACTTAGAATCTAAGGCTTAGAATCTAACGCTAAGAATCTAATGCTAAGAATCTAAGGCTTAGAATCTAAGCCCTATAGCCTAAACTTAAGCTCTAAGCCTAGAATCTAAAGCTTAGAATCTAGAGGCCTTATAGTATAATAGTAGCATCTCTATTTCTAAACTAGGAGGTTATGGGTTTAACCTCCATTAAGGCCCCTAGGCTAATTTAGGGTTAGTTAAGGTTAGGATTAACTTAAATAAACCCTACTTTACTACCCTTACTTTTTAGTCTTATTTAACTCCCTTTACTACTACTCTTTTATACCTAAGGTCTTAGCCTACTACTACTTAAGTAGTAATGAATGTAAGAGCTCTATCTTAGCATGTTATAGTATAGAGGAACTAGAATAGCTAACTTAAATATATAGCTCTATTAACCTTAATCTAGCCACCCTCTCCTCTCTCTCCTTCCCTTAATTTACATTAGTAGTATTATAAGGGGGGTAGAGTAGCTCCTTATATACCTCCTTACTAACTACTTACAAAGGAGCTCTAAGAGGACCTTAACACCTAGGACGCCCTTAGTGTTTAAGTCCTTTAAGAAGACCTTTATAAAGAAGATAGGAAGGAAGGAGTTATAGTGCTTAAGGGTTAAGGTAATGGCAAACCTCTCCTTAATCCCTAACTCCTCTTACTTATGCTAAAACAAGCTTATGACCCTTATGACAAACTTAAGGTTATAGTAAGTAAGAACCCCCCTTTGCTCCCTCTTTATAGTACTATAGATTATAGTAGGGAGGAAGTAAGAGAAGTAATAGCTATTATCCTTTAATAGCATCTTCTTCCTATCTTTAATAGAGTAGGTAATAGGCTACTTAGCCTTGTTAATCTCCTTACTTAAGGGACACTTAAAGGTAATATAGCCTAGGGGCTTCTATAGTAGGGAATAGTAGATGTAAGAAGAAGAGAGCTCCTTAATCCTTGCCTTAAACTCCTCCCTATTCTACTCTACATACATGCTAGAAGACTTTATAACACTTATAGTAGAGGAGAAGGTCTGTTGCCTACTAAGGCAACATGAGCAAGGCTCCTCCTCCTTAGAGCACTTGTCTATAAAGGAGTCATCTAGGAAGGAGGCAATGACCCTCCTCTTACACATGCCCTCTCTAAGATACTTTCTAAGAGTAGAGTAGTCTAGAGAGTTGCTAGCCCTATCCTCCTCCTTACCCTTGCTATAGAAGAACATAGATATAGACTTCTTACCATCCTTCCTACCCCTACCACTCCCTTGTAAGAAGCTAAGGAAGGAGTATAAGGAGTCCTTATATATAACAAGCCTTATACTAGAGTAGTCTAGCCCTTCCTCTAGGGTGCTAGAACTTACTAGCACTCTACTATAAAGGCTATTCTCTTATAAGAAGTCTTAAAGGACCTTCTCCTTTCCCTTTAAAGAGGAGTAGTAGATAGGACAGCTTATAGCATTACCTATCTCTACTATAGAGGAGATGGTAGGACAGAAGATAAGGATCTTATTACTTAAGCCCCTTAGCTTAAGCCTATATAACTTAACATAAGACCTTACCTCCTCTACATAATCCTCCTTACTTAGGGAGGAGTAGACCCTTATGTTATAAGAGATGTCCCCTCTACTTATAGGGGCCCTTATGACACTAAGAGACTCTAGCTTTAGGGTCTCCTTAAGCTTAACCTCATAAGAGAACAGTAGGGTCCCTATGAGAAAGACAAACTATGTAAGAAGGAGGAGGATCTCTATAAACCTATACATTATAGATCTGTAGTTTAAAGAGGACAGTAGTAGGTAACACTCATCTACTATAATCCTGTCTAGCCTACCCTCCTCTATAAGGCTCTATAGGTAGAAGACAAAGTCCTTCCTTACTATGCTCTTTATAGAGATGAGGGTAAGGTTGCTATCCTTACTACCTTGCCCCTTCTGCCCCCCCTTATAGATAGAGCATAGGACATTAAACGCCCTTACCCTCCTTATAATGTCCTGCTTTAACCCTACTAAGGGTAGGATAATAATGAAGACGTTTAAGGTGGCTAGGGAAGAAGTAAGGAGATAGCTTAGCAACTTCCTACTATTTGTAGAGAGTATAGCAAGGACATAAGGGACCTTAAGGAGGATTGCCTTTACTAGGAGCTCTTGCTCTCTTACCTTAAATGATGCTAAGGAATTACTAAGGAACTCTTATAGTAGATAAAGGAGGGTAGTAGAGGTAGAGGTAAGGGAGCTTAACATGTTGTTAAGGTCTTCTAGCCTTACCCTCTTAGCTGCAAAGTCATCCTATAAGGTACTTATAATGCTAGACCTACTCCTAAGGTGCTTTCTACAAGAGGCTAAGGGAGGGGAGGAGGAGGTAGGACCCTTATAGAAACGCAGTATAAGCATAGACCCTTGTAAATCCCCTTTAAAGCTCTCATCTAGCATCTCCTTGTCCCTTAAGGCACCTATAAAGGGGTAAGAGTTAACGTCTAGATCTAAGATGTAGAAGTAGGCAAAGAACCTTAGGCAGAACTTAAGGTATCTCCTTTGTACATTCTCTCTAACATTAGAGAAGGTAGAGGTGCTCCTCCTATAATGCAACTCCTCTACACTAGTAGAGTGGTTCATTTATAGGGCCCTTATGTCCCTAAAGGAGTCCCCCCTTCCCTCTAGGGTAAGCGTCTCCTTATTTAGCACCTCTCTTATAAACTCCCTTATAACTACTATAATAAGCTACCTATATACTTGTATCCCTATCTTCTGTCCTAGGACTAGGTTTGTAAATGTGCTTAGCCTAATGCTAAGATCTTAAGATGTAAGGACCTACTTCTTATAGTAGAAGAAGTAGTAGCTTAGTAGTAGCAGCTACTTATAGAAGGAGGGAGAGGATGTAGATACAAGGTTAAGGAAGCCTATAAAGGGAGAGATGAGTGTAATGTATAGTAGGAAGACCCTAGAGGCCTCCTTAGAGAGATACCTTATGTTAGAGGCCTCCTTCTCCCTCTACTCCTTCTCCTTATAGTAGGAGATGTTTAAGATGAAGAGGTGGCTAGCCTTGTCTAAGAACATCTCCCTCTTGTCCTTATAAGAGTTAAGGAAGCATAGAGTAGTAAGCTCTATCCCCCTTAAGGGTAGGCCACTTGTAAAGTAGACAATGAGGAAGCATAGCTTTAGGAACTTCTTTACGTCCCTTAAGTAGGCCCTTACCATGATGAGATCTAGTACTAGCTTGTTCTCCTTGCTTGTCTTAAAGAACTTGCCCCTTAGTAGAGTAGTCTTAAGGATGTAGTCCCTTATAAGGGCATTGTTCCTAAGAGAGGTAGGGTAAAAGTCACAAAAGCACTTATAAGGAGAGGTGTTAGAGGCATCCTCTACTATGCTAAACCCCTCTAGGGAGATATGCTTATACTCCTTATAAGGCATTCCTAAGAGTAGCTTCTCCCTTAAGTCTTGTAGTAAGCTTAGGATGGCCTCTTTAAACAAGTAGTAGAGGTCGTCTACACTAATAGTGACCTTCTTGTAAGAGACTGTCTCCTTAGTAGTTAAGCTAATGATGATGCTTAAGAGGGAAGATAGCTCCTTGTTTACCCTAAAGTAATAGAACCTATTATTAAGGATCTCCCCTAGTAGGGTAAGGGCACTATTATAGAAATAGGAGGACATTATGTCCCTTATTATAGATGTAAGGGAGCTTAAGTCATCTCTGCTTATAACATAGGAAAAGGCATACTTAATAACTATAAGCTATGAGTAGTAGATGAACTTTAAATATAGCTATAAGAAGTCTAAGGAGTCCCTTATGCTAAGGTCATCCCTTATGCTCTTATAGGCAAAGAACGAATAGATAGAGCTCTTAAATAGGTAGAGGTTTGTCTCTTGCTTAAACAAGCTAATGAGCAAGCCTAGTAGCTTCTTCTTTATAGAGGTTAAGGTAGCATTGTCATCCTTGCTTAAGGATGTAACCCTTTGTAGTATAGAAGTCAACTCTATAGAACCATTTGACTCTATAGAATAGGTAGAGGATGAAGGGGAGGAGGAGGGCAATGGTAAGGGGGATGAGGAGGCGCCCATCTCCTCCTCGTCTATGTCCTCTACATCCTCCCCTTCCCCATCGTCACTTAGCATCCTAAGGTTAAAGTTCTTAGACTTTAGCTTGTTTAGCTTATAGCTTAAGGACTTCCTTATGCTATGTAGGCTTGCCCTCCCTCCCCTGCCCTCCCCTTTGCCATCTAGCTTAAGGGTAGCAAGCCCCTCTAGCTCCCCTAAGTACCTCCTAAGGGTAGGGGGCAAGGCATATAGCTTTAGCCTTAAGCACACGTCATTCCTATAGCTATAGAGGAGGAAGGCGAGGAAGGAGGCAAAGAAGCTAAAGTAGAGGACCCTTAAATTGCCCTCTAGTAGGGGCTTAAAGCCCTTATTTCTAGTAACATTAAGCTAGAAGCTATTAAGGAGGTTGAGGTGCACCCTGTTAAGGAGAAGGCTCTTCTCTAGACTTAGATAGAGCATCTCCTTTAAGTGGTCTATAAGTACCCCTATAAGCCCCTTGTCCTCCTCCTCCTTAAGTAAGGGTGTAACGAGACCCTTTAGCACTAGCCTATCTCTACTTGTAATGAACTCTAAGTACCTTGTCTTTGTCTAAAATGTAGAGTACTTCTCCTACTTACTAAGGGAGAAGGGGACCTTACTACTATAGTAGGCATCCTCCTTCCCTACTAG